TTTTTTTTCCCTTACTCCATCTTATCTCCAAACCACTGAAAGCGGTTATCAGATTCTTGGTAAATTTTCCAAGCTCAACAACTGAATCGTGCAGCAAATTACTCGACACGCTTCAGCAATCGGCCCCCTTTTGTGTTTCACTCTTCAAGTCACTTTCTCTTCACTCCATCACAATTCCTCCTCTCTTTTCCCTGTCAATCAATGGCGCACTCGCCTAATGATTTTCCGTTTGTCCTGTAATTTTCAGCACACACAACGCCAATAGGAATAAGTAATTATACAAAAAATCAGAACCCCAGAAAACGAAAAGAAAAGTTGCTAGCTTTCTTTTGGGGTAACTTCTTGGTGAGTTGCTACGGAGCAAGAAAATGGCGTCTGTTCGTGGTATTGCCGCCGTTAGCAACTTGGCGTTGACTTGCCCTTCATCGTCGAAGAACTGCTGCCCTTTGTCGACGACCCATCGGTCAAATTTCCAATCTTTTGCAACAATTTCTACTCAATTTTCTCTACTCAGGTTAAAAAGAAGCAAAATCGATGGTTTTAGAGGGCTAAAATCGGTTCAGATGGACGTGTTCATCACGAGCGACGACGAGGCTGAAATGGGGGAAGGGTTTTTTGCGGCCATAGAGGAGCTTGAGCGGATGGCCCGGGAGCCGTCTGATGTGCTCGAGGAGATGAACGAGAAGTTGTCTGCCCGCGAGCTGCAGTTGGTGCTGGTGTACTTTGCGCAGGAAGGAAGGGACTCTTGGTGCGCTCTGGAGGTTTTTGAGTGGCTGAAGAAGGAGAATAGAGTGGATAAGGAGACGATGGAGCTGATGGTCTCGATTATGTGCGCTTGGGCGAAAAAGCTGATTGAAGGGAAAAATAAGGTGGAAAATGTGGTTGATCTCTTGGTGGACATGGACTGTGTTGGTTTGAAGGCAGGATTCAGTATGGTAGAGAAAGTGATCTCACTGTATTGGGAAGCTGAGGAAAAAGAACAGGCGGTTTTGTTTGTCGAGGAGGTTTTGAGGCGAGGGATAATTGTTCGGGATGGAGATAGGGATGGTAATAAAGGCGGCCCGGTTGGATATCTGGCATGGAAGATGATGGTATGTGCATGCGTAGTTCGTTCATTTTGTGTTTTTAGCTGTTTCTTGAGTGTTTTATGTGGGGCTTGCTGATAGAGAACTCGATATGTAGATGAATTGCTGGTGAATTATATTTGTCAGGATTGCTGCTGATGAATATATTGTTAGTCTTGTATCTGTGTGAAGAGTTCATAGTTTGGTTATACGATAATTAAACAAAAGTCCAGGATTTCTTTGCGAACACAATGAGTTATGAGTGCTGCCCCGACTTGGAAAATCTATGAATTTTGTGCTTCCATAAGGGAAATATGGAAGGCACTTGTTTTAGTTTGAGCTTTTGTTGCAATGTGTTTTCCATGTGGGACATACGGAATTCTATTTTTCTCGTTTTGGACATTGAGGTCGGGCTGTGCTTCCATGGGCTGTTTCTTTGAGACAATAAGTGACGCATTGTAGACAAAACCAACTGTTGTTTCTTCATTCAAGGGTTTCTTGTTCAGTGATTTTTGTTACAGTGACATCTCAGATCTTACCACCTGTTTCAAAAATATGTTTCGCCTTTTCGTGTTTCTATTAATTTTCTTAGATAACCTAATGGTACAATGTAATTTCAGCAGTTTTTAACCACACGTTGTTCCCTGACTAGGACTTGAGAATTGAAGTATGTGCCATTAAAATTTATTCCAGTTTGTTTGCCATATGCATGTGAAATTCAAATGTTGAAATGATGTGTACATTAATATTTTCTCATGTATTCCTAGCAGCTCGGATGCACTACTATAACAAAGTAGAGAAATTAAAATTTGGAATAAACACTCGACTCGATGAATTCGTTAGTATTTGAAGAAACATAAGTGTTGTGTGTAGGAAATTGTCTCGAGTCCAAACAACACTAGCACTAGCACTAGCACATTAGAATCTTTTATTGGGTTTGTGTTTTCTTTTTGACTGAATCTTCACTATGCTGATCAAGCTCGATTATGAAATTCAAAGACTGATGTTATCTTAGGTGGCAGTAGCATTAATAAATTTTGTTTTTGTAATTTCTTCATCTCCTGTGCGTTGCTAGCGAAGTCATTCAAAGACTAATGTTCTTGGAAATAAAATATGTCTACTAAACAATGAATTCTCGATTTTTCAGGAGGATGGAAACTATAGTGATGCTGCGAAACTAGTGATCAATCTCAGAGAATCGGGCCTGAAGCCCGAGCCCTACAGCTATCTAATAGCTATGACTGCCATAGTGAAGGAGCTCAACGAGTTCGCAAAAGCCCTACGCCGACTAAAAGCCTTCTCCGCCAGGCCCGGCCCGATTATCGAGCTCAACCCGGACTCCCTCCCTCTCGTCGAGACCTACCAAGAGACCCTCCTCACAAATGGGCTTCTCCTCTCTAACTGGGCCATCCAGGACGGTGGCCCACCACTAGTTGGGCCGGCCCACGAGCGCCTCCTGGCAATGTACGTCTGCGCGGGCCGTGGTGCCCAAGCCGAGAGGCAGCTCTGGGAGATGAAGCTCGCCGGGCGGGAAGTCGGCAGGGACCTTCACGACATCGTGCTGGCCATTTGTGCCTCGCAGGATGAATCGGGCCCGGTGGGCCGGCTACTGGCCCGGTTGGACTTGGCGGGCCCGTATGGGAGGAGGAAGACACTGACATGGCTTCTAAGGGGATACATTAAAGGGGGGCACTTTAGGAAAGCGGCCGAGACGGTGATTGGGATGCTCGACTCGGGGCTGTGCCCAGAGTATGTGGACCGTGTGGCGGTGGTGAGGGGGCTGAGCGGGAGGGTCGGGGGACAGCGGGGGGATGCTGATGCTTACGTGGCGCTCTGCAAGCGGCTCTCGGATGCGGGCCTAGTGAGCCCGGTCATCGTTTACCTTAATGTGAGGAAGTTGGGGCTCTGGGTGGTCCAGATGCTTTGAGGTGCAGGTATTCGGTGATGTGTTTGTGTGTGTGTGTGTATAGATTGTATGATAAGTGATGTGTGTAGATGGATGGTGGAGAAGAAAAGATTTTTGTGTATAAAGGAAGAAAGTTGTGCATATATGCTGTTAATTTTCATGTTTGTGTGAATGATATGTGGGCATTCTTGTTGTGTGCTGTTGTTAATGTTGGTTTTACCAAGCCACACTTGAGAAAAGATAAATTTATCTTTCACAGTTTCTCTCTTCAATTGTCCCTCTCGGCCCCAACTCTCTGCAAGTCTCTGCGTCTCAGATCTAAAATAAACGGCTAAAAGCTCCCGCCCCTTTCAATTCCTGTGGGTTCAACCCTCGTCAATTGAAGTAGAAAGCTCCCAGATCTAAATAGCTGATGCCCCTCCTGCTTCCGGCAGCCGCAGCTGCCTGGTATGGCAATGGCCGAAGCAGGAGGAGTCTATCCTGTCCGTTTTTGTCTGCGTGTGGAGAGGTTGCAGCAATGCCGCCGAACCTTCCATTCCCGGTCGAGCTAGGGCCTCTATCCGGCATATTCCTCCTCTGGCTTCGCTTCAGCTGGGACTTATCTACATGGGCGCTTGCTCGTTCGTTCGTTCCGGCAGGAGTCTCCCGGCAGCGGAACGTCACCTCTCAACCTCGGCGGCGGCGACGGTTTGTCCCATCGGGGTCATCTTTCATGCCGACAACTCTTTGTAAATCTTTGTGTCTCAGATATCAGATCTAAACTACAAAGCTCCTGCCCCTTACAAACTAGAAGATGTAGCTCAATTGGTAGCACTCTTTACTTGGGACCAATAAGTCTCGAGTTCGAGTCACGTAAGGAGCAAGTGAGGAACCACTATTGATCCTTCAAAAAATAAGAAAAGCTTCCATCCCTTCCAATTCATGCGTGCATAGCCCTCATCAATTGAAGTACAAGGTTCCAGATCTAAATTGTCGATGCTCCCCTTCTCCTTTCGGGGACCGCAACTGCCCGGTCCGACAATGGTCGAGGCCGGAGAAGCCTCTATCCGACATCTCCCTCAATTGTGGAGAGGTTGCAGTAGTGCCGCTGCACCTTCTGCTCCTGGTCGGGCTGGGGCCTCTATCCGACATCTTCCTCCTCTGGCTTCGCGTCGCCCGGGACTTATCTCTATAGCCGCTTATTCGTTCGTCTGGCTGGAGTCTCCCGACAGCGGAGCGTCACCTCTCGGCCTCGACGGCGACGGTTTGTCCTGCTGGGGTCATCTTTCTTGGCGACTCCCTCTCTAGAAAGATCTTTGGAGCCTAACTCTGGATTGAGAATAGCCTCCTCATCAGACGTGTTTAGGCAATTCGAGTTTGGCTGCAGTTTTTTGGTTTGGAGTCTCGGTTTGCAGCTCTGACGAGATTCTGTGCAGCAAGGAGTGTGGCTTGTGTTCCGATTTGGGTGGTAATGCGGTTCGACTTCTAAGTTAAGGGGAGGTCTTATTCTTTTTGTTTATTGGGTGCGCATTTTTTTCTTTTTTATTTTTTTATTTTTGATTTTTTGTTTTATTTAGTCCAATTGCTTTCGATTTTAGTCTATTTTATTTATGAAGCTTTAGTTTCCTTTATGGAGTTTTTATTTTGTGGTGTTTGTATCTTTTTTATGGAGTTTGTACCCCTTGGTCACCTGTGTAATTACAAGAGGGACTGGTTCAGACTTTATTCTGGTTTTTGTGGTGTCCGTTGACATCGTTGTACTCTTTTGAGTTTTAAGTATTAATATAATTATCTTTTGAAAAAAAAAAGACTTGCCACGCGGTCTTAAAAAAAAATAGGCATACTAAAATATGTGTATGTTTGTCTCATTTTTGTGTCGTTTTTAGTCATTATTTTTTCGTTCTTTTTCCCCCGTATTGAGTCGTTTAGGTGGTTTTAGGAACTTTGTCATTTATTATGTGTTTTGCGTTCATTTGAGTGTTGCGGTGTTTTCCGTTTGTTCTCCGGTCTTTTTCTGTTCTCTTTTCATTTTGGGTGTGTAGTTTGGAGACCCCAGGAGAATATGCTTTAGAGAATCTTTTGGGGAAGCTGATACGCGCAAAGCTGCCGAGACCAACCCCGTGCGCGCGGACTTTCTGCGCAGCGCCCTCCGCGGCCGCGACCCACACGCGAGACAGCTGCCCAAATTTGGTTTTTCACGGTTTTTCTCGGTTTTGACCCCGATTTTCGAGCACTATAAAGGTAGAATTGTTCCGGGACTTAGAGACAGACCGGAGCAGGGCTAAAAACCCTCACTCTAAAACTCTCCCTCTCCCTCTTCTTCTTCACTTTTTATTCTTCTTTTTCTTCTTAATTTCTCCATATATTTTCTTGTTTTCTTCTTCATCTTGCATTGGGATCAAGCTTGTAATAAGGATTCAACTCTTGACTGAGGTTTATTGTAAAAATTTCTTCTATTTCAATTCATGAAAAATGGTTGTTTTTGGAGAAATAATTATGTGTGTTCAATTCCTTTTACGTAGCTAAATCTCATTGCTAGGGATAGGGGATTGATGTTCTGAATTCAATTGTGATTGTAGAGTTTGTTGATTATTCAATTCATGTGAGTGTCCTGATTAGGGTTTGATGAGATTGTGTTTGAATGATGAAAATTATTGAAGGAGTGACACTTCAATTTTCAATTACTTGTTGATTGGGGTTTGATTCATTCTTGCATATTTGTTTTGATCCATTTGTTTAGATTGATTAAAAACCATCTAAACTAATTAATTGACTCATTGAATCGAAAGAGGAGGAGTCGATAGACCATGGCTCATATGAAATTGGCTTTTTCGTAACTGTATTGCCAATGTGTTAAAAGGCTCGTTAATTTATCGTTCATGTTCAACCTCTTGTTACGAAAAGTTATTGGGGACGAATCTTTGAACGTATAAGTTACCGATTCCTTTTAACCGAATGATCTCTTACTCGACACTTGCTCTTTGAACCAAAACGGATATCCCCGACTCCCTAACTTCTTTATTGCTTTTCAATTTGCATTTTAGGTAGATTTATTTTCAAGTTTTCTCTTAGTTAATTATTATCTCCATCATCTGATTTAGAGTGTTTAGGTTTATTTTCTTTTCTTGTGTTATCAACACCATTGCTAAATTCCAAACCGCCTTCCTCGAGAGATCGACCCGGGAATCAAATCGTCAGATTCGGTACTCGGTAAAAATATAATTTGTGCTCAACAGTGTACTTAGAAGGAGGGTTGCTCAATTGTACGGTATGCCTCGTACATACAGGAAAATAGGTGCTTTATATGTTGACGTGTTTCTTTTTTACCTAAGTAATTAAACATGGAAAAATGGCTGAATCTTCAATTATGTCACGCTTTAAATTGAGTAGTTTATATTTTTTATTTTCTTATACATGATCTTGAAATTTAATAATTTTTTTATTAAAAATAAATTGAAATTAAAATTAAAGTAATGGTATATTCGATATTTTGCATGTACGAGGTCTATGATACAATGTACGAGATTGTCAACATACTGCTTTGCCTCATACATTAAATGTAGAGTTGAGATTAAAGTAGATAAGAGAAGTTTTTTTGTTGTACATCTTTTGCAGGTCGATAGGAGATGTCAATGTAAAAGGTCTATGAGACAATGTACGAGATTGTTAACATACGTTTTTTGCTCATGGAGTGCAAGAGAGTTCTTTTGGTATACGTTTTTTGCAGGTAGATAGGAGAATGAATTGAGGGGATGGAAAGAAAAAAAATAAATAAAAAATAGTATAATTTATTTTAATTGTAACATAGACACGCCATGTAGGCAGTTCGCTCCATGAAGGAGCCAACTATTGGCCCTTTAGAAATGTATGCACGAGGAATATTTGACGCTAAAAGTTCAATATTTAGATATGTATGTTATTCTTAGAGTATGATATTTTAATTTGGATGTTATACATATTTGTTGAAAAAACTACATTGTACAGTAAATATCTCACTCAAAACTCAAATTTAACTCAACTTTAACTCAATTCCACTATCTCCAATATTATCAATATAATTAAATAATATCTACCAATCATTATTACACATCACATCAACTTTAACTCACTATTCATCTACTCACATAATTTTAACTAACTATCACTTACAATCATTTTCTCCTACTTTTACATCAAATCAACTTTAATTATTTTAATTTTTTTAATATATCTACTAACAATTAACCATACTATTTTTTTTCAAACTTGACTATAGTTAAAAAAAAAAAAAAACTAATTTTTTACTAGTTTAATTCATATCCAATCACCCCCTTAAGCAATAAACCTGCCTAACAATAGCTTTTTGTTTATTTAATTATTATTACTTTGTTTAATTATAATTTTTTTGGTATGCAACTGCCCCTACATTAGCACCTTGTACTAAGCCATGAATTTCATGTGTATATATATAGTCTCCAGGTCATAAATTACACCCCTTACAATAAGTTATGATAAATATTACACATAAACACCAATTATAATTTTATTTATAAAATTACTAAACAAGCCTAAAATATTTACACTTATACCTGATTCTGAATGCTGCTCATTAACCGTTATTAAACAACTAGTATAAATCCTGTGCACATGCACAGGTTACTAAATATAAATAAATATTTTATATAAAAATCATAATTAAAACAAAATTTTACTTAATAGTATGTATCACATTTATAATCAAATTACATTAAAGACACTTCGTTGGAGTTATATACTTCGAGAAAAAAAAACAATGTAAATGTACAATTTACCATATATTAATGACTATTATTATATGATATAATGAGTAACCCAATTTTTGTATAATTTGAATATTATATTATAATAATAAACATAAAAGTATTCCAAAAGCACAAAATAATAAATTTAAAATGGACAACGTAAATCTTATATACCACATAAGTTGATATTAATAATAGATCTCTACAAATGAAAAGATAAAATAAATTGATATGGTTATGATTTATTTTTATAAATTTATTTCCCAAGGAAAATTAAAAAAC